GCCCGCGGCGGGCCCGCGCTAGTCTTGGGCTATCAGAGGAGTGTAGTGTGGTGTAGTGTGGTGTAGTGTGGTGTAGTCTAGTGTGTAGTGTGTAGTGAGTAGTGGGTAGTGAGTAGTGAGTAGTGAGCAGTGAGTAGTGTGTAGTGTGTAGAGTGTAGCGCAGTGTGTTGTGTAGTGTGTTGTGTAGTGTGTTGTGTGTTGTGTGTTGTGTGTTGTGTGTTGTGTGTTGTGTGTTGTGTAGTGCGTTGTGTGTTGTGTGTTGTGTGTTGTGTGTTGTGTGTTGTGTGTTGTGTAGTGTAATGCAATTAGTGTAGTGCAGTTGTAGTTGTAGTGTAGTGTAGTCTTCTGTAATGTATTGTAGTTGTAGGCGCAGTGGTAGTTGTAATTGTAGTTAGTGTAGTGTAGCGTGTGGTGTAGTGTGGTGTAGTGTAATTTAGTGTAGTGTACTGTAGTGGAGTGTAGTGTAGTGAGGTGTAGTGTAGTGTAGTGGAGTGGGGTAGTTAGTTGATGTTAGTTGTACGTAGTTGTAGTTGTAGTTTTAGTTGTAGTTAGTTTAATGTAGTGTAGTTTAGTGTAATGTAATTAGTGTAAAGTAGTGTAGCTGCAGTTGTAGTTGTAGTTGCAGGCGTAGTGTAGTGTCATTCAGTGTAGTGGAGTGTAGTGTAGTGTAGTCTAATTAGTGTAGTGTAGTGTAGCGTAGTGCAATGTAGTATAGTTGTAGTAGTTGTAGTAGTTGTAGTTAGTGTAGTGTAGCGTCGTGTAGTGGAATGTAGTGTAGTGTGGTGTAACTGTGTGTCGGGGGGTGTAGTGGAGCGTCGTGGAGTGTAGTGTAGTGTAACGTAGCTTAGTGTAGCGTAGTGGAATGTAGCGGAGTGTAGTTGTAGTGGAGTGGAGTGTAGTGTGGTGTAGTGTAGTGTAGTGTAGTGTAATTAGTGTAGTATAGCGTGTGGTGTAGTGTGGCGTAGTGTAATTTAGTGTAGTGTATTGTAGTGGAGTGTAGTGTAGTGTAATTAGTGTAGTGTAGTGTAGCGTAGTGTAATGTAGTATAGTTGTAGTTGTTGTAGTAGTTGTAGTTAGTGTAGTGTAGCGTAGTGTAGTGGAATGTAGTGCAGTGTAGTGGAATGTAGTGAGTGTAGTGGAGTGTAGTGGAGTGTCGTGGAGTGTAATGTAGTGTAATGTAGCGTAGTGTAGTGTAGTGGAATGTAGCGTAGTGTAGTTGTAGTGTAGTGAAGTGTAGTGTAGTGGAATGTAGTGTTGTGTAGTGGAGTGTGGTGGAGTGGAATGTAGTGTTGTGTAGTGGAGTGTAGTGGAGTGTAGTGACAGGCAAGGGTTCAGTCCACACGGAGAGGTTAAGATGATTTAAGTTCCCTCATTTTTTGAAGCTTTGGAACTTCATACCGCGTGACCATGCTCTTTGATTGAATAAAACGCCATAGCGGACAAGGACTGTGCTGCCTGTATCGTGCTTCCATGTGCTTCTTTCGCTTTGTTAGTGTCTTTCCTTCACCTGCATGTTCCGGGTTGTGAGATTCTATGTCAGCCACTCCTCGCCGCGCCTGACCTCAACCGCAAAACCTGGATCAGAGTGGTGCCCGCCGGACCTGGATCACAAGCGCCTGGGTGAGATAGAATGCCACAATGAATGTGAGAAGACACAATAGTCACGTATGCCAGAAAGAATTCCAAAAGAGATGCCGGATAGCATGGTAGCCTTGACTTGTCAGAAGTTATGCCAGATAGACACACATGCCAGATAGTATGCCAAAAGATCTGCCAGATAGAACGCGCGGGTCCGACAATGTCAGTTTATGCCAGAATATATTTGAAAATATATGTTGGATTGGCAGAAAAAAAACCGGAAAAGATTTGCTAGACACAGATGCCAGACAGAATGCGAGAAAATATAGACGATAAAATGCTGACGTGAAGACCTTCGCCCTGCGGAAGACCCTCGGGCCCGCGGGCCCGCGGAGGAGCCCACGCAGGCCCGCGGAGGGCCCGCGGAGGGCCCGCAGGCCCGCGAGCCCGCGGGCCCGCGCGGGCCCACGCGAGTCTTGGGCTATCAGGGGACCTATGTCTCAAGATCGTGCTAACTAGATGGACGAGCAATTATCAGACAATCTCATTCAGGCCGCAATGCATTTGCCATTGTTGTTAGGCAGTGGTCGAGAGCAAAATGAACGTGGTTGCGACCTCCACGAGCCTCGCCGGGCAAGAGTCCCGTATACGGCGGATTGATGCAATTTTTTTCTCATTCGTGCCGTGCACCAAGTAATGGTTTTCGAACGAATTAGGTCGGAAAATGTTGGAGTGTCCACTCTCAAAACGGATAAAGACGCTGACTATTCCTAACCCATCTAACGTATCAACTTGGGTCAATCTTCAATTTTCGTTCATAAAAGCAGCTGGTTTAAACCATGTATCTGGCTCAGGAGTTTTTCCTGGCTCAAAATTGTTCTGAGTCAAATATCAAATCATGGCACGAGATTTGTTGGAATCACAAACAACATGTCATGTAATGTGCCAGAGGCATAAGAAATTTTATCGAATTCATTCTGCCACGAAAGGCAGCCGGGACTTCGGCTTCGTTGGCCCAACGCAAGCGGTCATGACAATTCTGATGCATTGTTCGGATTTTTTTGGCAGCTTGACCGTGGTTGAACATGTCATGGAGCGAAAAAAACCAGTCTTGATGTAGTAGATCCGTATGTCGGAATAAGTACGAAAGATGTCTGGATCCAAGCTTAACTTAAAAGTATGATCTCGCAAGGAAAAATCATGATCACGTTCATTTTGAACACCAGCTTGTTTTGTCAAAACTTGACAAACACATTGTACAAAGCATTGGGCATTTGTTCTTAAATAATCAAGAGGTGCGCGAAAAACATGTTCAATAAGACTGTCGCGCTGTTCTCTGTGCTCTTCACCGGTATCGTGGTTGCTAGCTCGGCGTCTGTCCGTGTATCCGGATCTTCCACCTCTGGGCGTATGATGTGGACGTTGGCCGCGTGGAGTACGCTGGCCACGTGGTGTGAAGTCCGCGTTTGCGGATCGTTCAAATCTGGAGTATGCCGGAGGCATACACGAACAATAGGCGGAACGTCAGGCCGGTGTCCCACAACAGGTGCACGGATGCAATGCAGGTGAGACGTCAGGCGATGTCTCACGTCAGTCGGCAACCAGATGCCGTCGATGTCCAACCAAGCAGGTCAGAAAAAAATGAGTCAAGGAGTTAACGTATCCTGTGAGCCATGAAGTTGCAGACAGAAATTTTCTTGATTGCAAACACATGTTCTGAAATGTCTTCATTGAAAAACGCGATCACATTGTGAGGTTCATGAAGTGTATCAATGACCCATGTTGTCAAAAACGCTTTGTGTTTAAGCAGCGACCGGAAAGGCGGATGCACGTCTACTTGTTCAAGGTTGCCAGTTGTTATTGACGACACAAGTTGGTCTGGTTTAGCTGTTGATTTTGTAAGTGGGTCTGCCAGACAATATTCACTTGCAATGCGACTTAAGACTTAAGTCGTCTAAATGACCGGTGTTACTTTCATGTCTCAACATCTGTATTAAATGGTGGGTTTCTTTCTGTTCAGGTAGGTGTGTGGTCTGAGCAGTTGTAGCTAAGTTGTGAATAGGAACAATTTCGCCGCTTTTAAGTCGGCCCATAACGCTCTCAGAAACAAACACTTACCAAAGCACTTCATTAAGGCGTTTAATTCGGCAACGGTCGTGGACAGTGTTGTTGTTGTTGTTGTTGTTGTAATTTTGTGGCTTTCATAGTCAATAATGGATCCACGTGTTGCTGATTCAGAACCGTGTAAACGGTGTGTTTGCTTGTCGTAACCGGAATTGCGATATGCACCTTTTGCGGGTAACTTGCGGTCTTCAGCTAAGAAAATGACATGGGCACGCTGGCTGGATTTATCACTGTTGTTGCGATAAGATGCATCGGGCATGCCAAGGATACGCTTTGAACCCTTAAGAGGCCAAAATCTTCCATCAACATACTGACTCTTGAGGGTGCGTACAACCTTGTTGATTTCCCTGACATCTCCGATAGTGGGATTAGCAGCGGCTGAGGCACAACGCGAAAACTTGTAACAAAGATGGACCTGAGTTCTACTCTGTAGCCAATTGAGCTGTCCGAGTACGGATCGATAAGCAGTATGAAGTTGTGGATTGCATTGGACATTATCTGTCAAGGACTTATCAATTTTTATACTTCTTCAACTGCATCGACAGCATTTTTTTTGTCAACAGAAATATATGATCCATACTTGTCATGAGTCTTCCGTTTGATGCGTTGTCCTACAAACATAATGTCATTCTTATCTTCTGAGCCAACCGCAAAGTTCTTACGCAGACTGGACCAAACCTTGGATTCAAACACCTTGTCGCCTGCCATGAACATGTCATCAACATGAAGGAAAATGAAGCCGTGAGGTCGGCGTCCTTGTGCATTGTTTCGGGCTACTGGATCCATAAGATGTTCAGTTGCTTCAGAGGTACTTACCTGTTCAGTATTGACACTGCGAGGTCGGTATTTTCGCAGGCTTCTTGGTGCGGACATGTTGGCATGGTGCCCAAGTCATGTCATGCCAGCTGTGAGGAACAGATGATCCAGCACATGAAATCGGCCTTCAGGCAGCGTGGCTTTACTGCGCATCTTGCCTGCAAGAAAGTCTTGGGGCCCGACGAGACAAGGGATGGCCAAGGGAGGGATGTTCATGGAAAGTAGTGGAAAGTGATTGCAGCAAACTCCAACACTCAGGATCAAGAAAAACCTTGTCTTCGCTCGGCTGGTGGAGTTCCTTAGCTGACATTGGCTGCCGTTGGTCATTTGAAGGTTTTGTTGAGGAATCCGTGGTGCTTGTCAGTTGTGGATGTTTTGCGGCTCATCTTACGAATCACCTGGCCCACAAGGCATTCACAAGTGCCAAGTACCCATGCACTTGGATTAATGCATTTTTGGTCAAGGGCACCGCTGCCTTTCAGGGAGACCGAATTTGTCGTGACCTATGTCCACGGCCTGGAGACCATGAACACTGCGGACCCAGGCGACTATGTGTGCTTGGGTCCACAAGGTGCCTTGACTTTGGTGCTTTCTGCCAACCGCGTGGCCGCTGGCAGTGGAACAACTAAGGCGAAGAGTATGTCGTCAAGAGCGATGTGGCTCCGTTCAAGTTCTACACGGACGAAGCGAAAGACATTCCGGCCGAGTTCGGGCTCCTTTGCTGCAGTTGGACCTTGCATACATGCATGCATGCATACATACATACATACATAACATACCGACATACCAACATACCTACATACCTACATACCTACATAACTACATGCCTACATACCTACATAACTACATACCTACATACCTACATACCTACATGCAATCATACATACATACATGCATACATACATACATACTTACATACATGCATACATACAAACAAACAAACGTACCCACATACATACATACAAACGTACTCACATACATGCATTCATACACACCTACATACATACATACATACGTACATACATACATACATGCATACATTCATGCATACGTACATGCACAAATGCATACATACACGCATACACACATACATGCACACACGCACATACATGCATTCATACATACATGCATGCACACATACATGCATACAGCACATACATGCATACATACATACATGCATGCACACATACATGCATACATGCGCGCATACATACATGCATACATACATGCATACATACATGTACATAAATGCACACATGCATACATACATGAGTGCATACATGAATCCACACACATGCATACATTCATGCATAAACACATGCATGCATACATGCATACATGCATGCATACATGCATACATACATGCATACATACATGCATTCATACATGCATTCATACGTACTTGCGGACTCACATACATGCATACATACATGCATACTTGCACACATGCATCCATACATACATACATGCCTACATACACACATTCCTGCGTACACAAATGCATACATACAAACATACACTTATGCATGCGTGCATTCACATATGCAAACAGACATGCATACACACATACATACATACATGCATACATTCATGCATACGTACATGCATACATGCATGCATACAACCATACATACATGCATGCACACAAGCATACATGCACACATACGTGCATACATGCACGCGTACATACATGCTTACATAGCCTCACATACATGCATGCATACCTGCACATACACATATATGCATACATAGATGCATACATACATGCATTCATATATGCACACGTACTTGCATACATTCATGCATACATGCATGCACACATACATGCATACATACACGCATACACACATACATGCACACACGCACATACATGCATACATACATACATGCATGCACACATACATGCATACAGCACATACATGCATACATACATACATGCATGCACACATACATGCATACATACATATATAAACACATACATACATGCACACATACATACACATGCACATAAATAAACACATGCATAAAAACATGCATGCATACGTGCATACATACATACATACACACATACACGCACACATACATGCATACATACAACCACACATACATGCACATAGCACATATTTACATAAATGTGTACTCACACACATGCATAAACACATGCATACATGCAATTATGCATGCAACAATGCATACAACAATACATACCTACATAAATACGTGCATGAAGATGTACTCACATATATAAATACGTACTTGCATACATACATGCATACGTACATGCATGCTGCATACATCAATGAATTCATTTGTACATAAATACACTCGCATACATATATGTACGCATGCATACATACGTGCATACAAACAAGCATGCATACAGCTCATCTTTGTACACACACACACCTGCATACATGCGTGCACGCATGCATGCATGCATACATGCATACGTACTCACACACATGCATACAAGCATACATACCTACATACATACATGCATACATGCATACATGCCTGCATACATACATACATACTTACATACATGCATACATACAAACAATCAAACGTACCCACATACATACATACAAACGTACTCACATACATGCATTCATACACACCTACATACTTACATACATGCATACATACAAGCAAACAAACGTACTCACATACATTCATGCATGCATACATACATACATACATGCATCCTCACATACATGCATGCATGCATACAGGCATACATATGTACACAAACGCAGTGTTACACACATGCACACGCACACACACACACACATGCATACATGCATACATACCTACATACATACGTACATACATACACACATACATACAGACAGACAGACATACATGTACACATGCATGCATACATACCTGCACACATACATGCATACACACATGCATGCATACATGCATACATACCTACATACATACATACATACATACAAACGTACTCACATACATGCATTCATACACACCTTCATACATACATACATACAGACATACATACATGCAGACATACATACATACATACAAACAAACAAACGTACTCACATACATACATACATACATACATACACATACACACACATACACACATACATACACACACACATACATACATACATACATACACACACACACATGTACTCACTTACTCACATACATGCATTCATACACACCTACATACTTACATACATGCGTGTATGCATACCTACATACATACATACATACATACATGCAGACAGAGACAAACATGAAAAATCAGATGAGTTGACAGTTACAACTGCTTTCTTTCGAAAGATCCCCGCCCTAGCATTTTAAGGCATGTCCTTGATTTTTTAAGGAAGAGACGAGAAGTGCTCTGATAAAGTCTAACAGCCCTCGCGCGGCAGGTGAGAAAACAGATACGCGGACAAACAGATAGATACACACATGCATACCCACATACACTGACATGCACGTATATGCGGACAGACAGATAGATAGCCATACATCCAAAGATCCATGCACTCATGCTTGCTGCCATGTGTACACACATGCGCCCGCACAGTGGCATACGATACACAGACAGTCTCATGGTCTCTCAGATGTACTGATTAAAGGTTTATTGAGCTTTTTCCCGCTTGAGTGTAGTCAGTGGAAGCAGCCGAGGCTTGCGGATAAAGATTCCAAACTATACGAGCCCGTCCCAGAACCGAGGCTGGTCGTCACTTGGCTCCGATGCAGGGACTCGACCCTCCCCACAGAGAGTGCATGCTCCTCACGTTTCTGAGGTGAAGGACCAAGGATGACCTGCCGCCCGGAGGCAGGTTCCTGGCCTCGTGGGGAGAGATGATGGCCATCAAGTGTCCACGCTGCACTTGGAGCTTACTGTCGTGCCCATCATTGAAGCCCACAGCGACGCCGCTCACCTGCTAAGGGAAGGCGACTTCCTCGTGGGTTGCGGAGAAGAGGAGGGCTTGCGAGAGGTGTACCGCATCGAGAGCACCTCTTGTGAAGCGAGCTACATCCGCACAGAGGCGAGCGGCTTGTTCACGTCAGTAGGTTGTTTGCTTGGATTCCGTTTTTCCGAGCAACAGGATGCCTCAAGCTCTGCAAGTTGAGCCTGCGGCCATCGGACCTGCACCACGAGGACCACCTGAAACATGTCGGTCGAAAACCAACACTCATCCCTCATTTATGTGCAACATCATCCACACATTGCTGGTGTCTACATTAGCTCACGAATGGTTCTCTAAAGTATGATTTCCGAGACTGCTGGGCAGATCAGGCTCGACAACATCCTGTGCCAACCAATTTTTGGTCAGGTGAAAAAGCTCCGAGAAGAGTATGTGGAGAGCGAGGCCGACTTGGAAGACCATCCCAAATTTGCCTATTCTTGAAACGTCCCCCGCTGCCTGCTGCGGTATGGCGCAGTACTGCTGGTAATGTAACATGATTTATTTATCGTATTTCGCCATAGTTACCATAGTTCACCACTACCCTGTCACATGTTTTCCCGCACGCGTACGAGAGTTACGTCATAATTCATCACAACTTTATCCCCACGCATCATTACTCACCATGCGCCCATGGTAGTTGTACCATAATGCACGGTGAATTCGATTTTGCTGCTAGTCGCCAGCAATTAGCCGCTCATTAGTCAACAATCAGCCATCAATTAACCACCAATTGACCACCAACTGGCCAGCAACTAACCATCTTGGTGTCCGCGCCGGTCTCTGCCGCCAGGATGATCTTGGACACTAATCTGGCAAAGCACTTTGATATACTTTGATCAGGTGGATATCAGGGATGGTTCTGCCTGGCTGGGGTACACCGTGAAAAACCAACAAATGGTGATACATGCATATATATATATATATACATTTATGAATACATGATACACACATCATGCAATAGATATGGTAGACATGATATATCAAAATTCATATATATACATCTATATATATATATATTTGATATGCAAATGTTTTATGCATGTGTATGTACATATGTGTATGTAAACAAGATATGTGCCACCTATGTATAAATACCACCTATGCATAAATATATACATGCATGTACCTATGACAAATGGCTACATATTTACACATACATATGTACATGCACATACAGGCATATACATGCATAGTATGCAATACACACATGGGGTTTGCATGTATATATAGTATGAAACATGCACATGGGGTATACATGTATAGATGTACATGATACTGTACATGACGTGACACAGGATACATGATACATATATCCATACACATAGATGCGTAATGAGTGGTACAGTCATAGGTATACATGCAAAACATTACATCATGGAAAGCTCACAGCTGGACCTCGAAGCCATGGTTACCTGGTTGCAACGAGTTTCCTTTTTTACCAACCAGCCATAGCTTTTGGGTCCATGTTTGCTTTGGGTCGTGTAGGTTTTGAGGATGGAGGATGATGCATGACAGGTTGACTAAGAGGATGGTATCTTCTCAATGATTATGGATGATTACTGATGGTTTCTTGGTCACTGCTGGCAATTATCGATCAATATTCTCTGAGAATTATATTATAACTATTTTATTAATGGTTATACTGATGCTAGTGTGGGATTTTTGTGCCGGGGATACCCAAGGATGCACCAATATCATGAACACACCGCATAGGTGAAGTCACCAGGTTTCCAGAAGACGGGCGAAGCCATTCCACCGGTTACAAGGGTGTCCTCGTCAGCCTTGGTGACGAATGGAGTGGCCTCACCCTCCTGTGAATTGACAAGGTTTTGGGAGCATCCCTCATTTTACTTGCAACATCTAGGGTATTTTGAATGGCGCATCACAGTTTGTGACCTCATAAGATGGCGTTGCGCAATTGTTAGCCTATGACTGTTGAATCTTGTTGGCCCATGTCACCCCGTGTAGCAACCACTGCATTTCTTGGATGTCATGGACGTTTGGCAGTTTGAAGACCCCCAGCTTGACCTTGATGACATGCGCGAACGTTCAGCAGGGACCGTTCATTGATTATCACGTTCAACCCTTTAGCTTCCGACCATCAACCAGGGTATCAGCGGCAACCGCCTTGCTTCACAAAGGTGCAACTGCGGCTTGCTAAGCAGCCGCGAGAATTTGGAGAATTAGCGCTGCATCTCATGCCCATCGTAGAACAGGTTTTGTTGGGAATGTTTGCATAAAGTTTTTGTTTGAAGAGTGTCTAACGATCTCGCAATGATTCTGCATGCCTTTGTTCATTCTATGGGCACTTCATCAGTTTCACCAGTACTGTATCACAAAAAATGTTTTTACGGTTCCGGAAATGTCTTTATCCACAAAGGTGCGTCTAGATGATGCGGAGTCTTGCCAATGTTTTTGCAAGGTTTTTGTTCGGCATGATCTGAACAATTTCTGGGAACCCTGGGGGGCCGGGTGTTTGAATAAGCTGCTGCTCGAAAATTACCATGGCATGACCAATGCACACACATCGACAACCTTGTCCGAGCAGCAGCTTATTCAAACGGCCTGGCTGGGGGGTAGAGATAACCTGCGCGAGGCGTGCCATGACCAGCAATGTAACGATTAGACTGTGTAACAGACTAGGGTGCATGGTGGTCATGAGTACTGTATTCGTTTTGCTTTTCACATGGCACGCCTCCAGATGCGTGGGATCTCTCCCCCCGCGCCGACCTCTGTCGAGACGACGTGAGAGATTGCACTGATAAATAGGAATAGGTTACTTCAAAGTTTGGTTCAAAGAATTCCTTGATTCATTCATGTTTGTTTGTCATCTCTCACGGAGCACAGTCCACCGGCAGCCACGCCCCTGTGGTAAGGAGAAGTTGTTTTTTTCGTGGTATGCAATCATCATGGCAGCAATCATCATGGTACTCATGCTGTGTTCTTCATGTGCCCTTCGTTCACGCCAGGGGGGCGTGGCAGGGTGGTTACCTAGAACCTGCCGTGTCTCACCTGTTTCACCCCTGGCACCTTATGCTGGGGGAAAAGTGCGCGTATGCTGTGCAGGCCCCAGCGGCGAAAGGGTAGCTGATGAAACCGGGTGGCACACGCACCTACATATATACATACCATGATGTAACATACAGATATTGACATCCCATGAGCCAACTACAACTACCATAGTTATAAACCTTGCTGGGTGTAAGCTGCACGCGCTTATGAATGATTTAGATTGATACATTGCATTTTGGCACCTACCATTGTGCTTCAAACATGTGCCAGAAAACACTTGATCTTGACCGTTTTTGCAAACTTTTTTGTAGAATTGGTACTTCTTTACACCCCAATGCTTCAACATGCGACGTGAATGACAACACAGAAGGCTACCATGGACATACCCTCGACTACTAAAGGTCTAGAATGGTAGGGGGGTTGGTGTTTTTTGGAAGGTCTGACATGGTACAAGGTATCAATGCAGACCTTTATGGCCTATCAATGTAGGCCTTTGACATGTCTACTTAAGCCGGTGGGAAAATTATTATAGACCTTTGCCCTCAATGCCTTCGTATTTGATTTCAGACCTTTCAGCACTCCACGGTTGTGCCAACAGAAGGTGATTGATAATTTTGATCCTGAACATATGGGTACATGATAGGCACATATATAGTGGCTGTGCAGTGGCTATAATGATCATATGGTGGGTAGGAAGTGGTTTTATAGCGGTTTCCATGGTCATGATAATGGGTAAATCCTGAGTTCAAATTGTTATACTGGTCATATCATGGATAAATAGAGGCTTTAGAGTGGTTAACATGATTGGCTTGCATCATGTTATATCATAGGTAGATGGTGGTTTGACAGTGGCGGTGTTTCAAAACGGAGTACCCAAAAAACAACGGTTTTACAATTGAACCATGATCATGGGGGGTGGATTCAAGGATGCCACTGTTTTGAGACAAACACATGTTTCCAAGATGGCAACTTCAGCTTCCTATTTCAATCAGTCTGTTCAACATGGCAGTGAAGCGGGCTCTCCAAAGAAGCCTTCAATGGAGGTAGGTTTCGTGCAAGCACGTGCACAGAGTCAGGAAACTCAAGCAATTTCTTCATAAATAACGAGTTAGTGCGAGGTGGTTGATAGGTTTTGGTTTTGGACGAATTGTCGTACAGCACATATGTACATCGGTCTGCGCGTGTTGGGATGGGTCCACAGTCAAGTAAGGCTTTATCAATGATTTGCCACCAGCGGCGTGGCGCATCATTTAGACCATAACCGGGTTTGTTAAGCCTAGCGCCGATATACGGTGGATAGATTCGGGCAGTATCTGGAAAATAATGTCACTTGTTTCATCATAGGCTTCACCTTGGAGAAACGCGGTCTTGAGGTCCATGTGATAAAGGTCCCAGCCATAATTAGCGGCTAACCGGGTTGCACATCGGAAACCTGCACGGGATGCTGCAGGGCTGTCTGTCTGTTGAGTGTTCTTCTGTTTGTCCTGGAAACCCTTTAGGACCCATCTGGCCTTACATTTCTGCAAGTTACCATCTTTATCTTTCTTCGCAGTAAGAACCCCGGCCACAAAATTTCCAACCTTCGTCTTTCTCATGTCTACAAGATCAAAAACTTCATTGTCAATCCATGATTGGCATTCAGCCTTCTTGGCGTCAAGGAATTGTTTGGCGAGTTGTCTCTTCTCTTGTTGAGTGGCTTCCTTTCGTTTCTTGCCAACTAGATAGGAAAATTGTCTGTCATAGAATACAACGTCATAAATGCCTTATCTTCTTCATTGATGCCGTGGTATTCGGCAATGATAACAGATCGGGTCTTACGGCATCTTGCACGTTGTCTCTCCGTGACAACAGAATAAGACATGCCAATAGAATTGGAAGATTCAACGTTGCTCAAAGCTACTGGTGTACCGTCAATCAATCTAGGCACGGAGAATGATGCCGTGTTACTGCATAGCTTCTGTTCTTGGGACAAAAGACACCTTTGAGAATCATCAATAACAAGATCATTGTAGTCAAGAGTCTCATGAGTATCTGTGGAACCATAAGGAATTGCGTCATCAGTGTCTTCTTCTGGTTCTTCTTCTTCTTCTTCTTCTTCTGGCTCTTGCTGATCTTGGGTGTCCGGCTGCGGATCATTCTCAGGCATGGGTGATGGATTGAAAGGTTCATCTCCGTCTAG